TCTCTTATGCTGTCTAAAGAAGGTATTTGTAATAAACAAATCATTTGTCTTGCAGAAATCTATCATTCGTTCTCCAGCATCATTTCTATCACCAAGTCCAAATTTTCCAACTACTGGTCATCTAGTCCACTCCAATTCATTGAAACTCCATATAGATCAGAACAGAGCCCTGATATGGCAATGTGTGATAAGTTGTTGTTGTTGTTGTTAGGTGCCATCGAGTCGGTATCAACATATAGCGACCTTATGCACAGCAGAACGAAACACTGCCCAATCCTGGGTAAGTACTGAACTGCTAAACATAAGGTTGGCAGTTCAAACTCGGTTGTAGCTCTCAGTAACCCTATACAGGGTCACTATAAGTCGGAACCAATTCGACAGCACAAGACAACAACATATAGCAATAGAAATGTGCTCTATAGCAATTTCAATGGCTGATATTTGAAAGTAGATTGCCAGTCCTTTCTTCTGAGGTGCCTCTGGGCACCTACATTCACCATTTGCATCACCCAGGAACTCCACTGAGGTTCTCAGATACCCAACTTTCCACCTCAGATTCTGACCTCTCCAACTCATGATGCCAGGTACACCAGAACACAGTCACATGGATGTCCCATGAGTTACTCACATTCATCCAGGTCCACTAAGCTTGACATCTTCCTTCAGACTGGGTTCTCCACTCCTCCCCTGATGACAGCCCCATCCTTCCAGGAGCTCAGTCATGAACTCACCCTCACACCCACACTTGACCATCAGCACCTCCTCACTGCGCTCCACCCAAGGGTACCAAGAGGCCAACCCAGTCTCCTCCTGTCCAGATACTATCAACGTTGCCAGTGGTCTTCTCCTCTTTGAACTCTGGTTTTTGGTCCCCTTCCTACTCACCCCCAACAGTTGATTTTCCCCTAAGCAGCTGAGGGCAGCTTTTCCTCTACTCAGAACCTTGCATGGCTCCCACCTTCCTCAATACAAAAACCAAAGTCATCTGTTCTACACTGAAAGTTCCATGAACTCTGTCCCTCACTGCCTAACATGTCTGTTCTACACTGGACCCTGCCCCCTTCTGTGTTCTACATTGGATGTACTCCCTCCTCTGTTCTGCACTGGACAGTCCTCCTACTCTATTCTACTTTGGACATGCCTTGTTCTCTATTCTCCATTGAGCAAATCCACATTCTCTGTTCCTCACTGAGTATTCCAGGTCCTCTGCTCCTCAGTGGAGACTCCCTGTCTCTATTCCCCATCAAATGTCCCATATTCTCTAACTCCCCTTTAGTGTGTGTGAACTATTCCAAACCATTCCACCCTATTTGTGGTGGTTTTGAAAACATGAAGTTTGTGTTCAACTTACTGAAAGATTGATGATCAAACCTATCCAGTGATATTGCAGAAGAAAGGACTGGCGATCCATTTCTGTTAAGGCTATATAGTCAAGAAAACTTTATAGAACTTGATTCTACTCTGTAATATATGAGATCACTGAGTCAGAATCAACTCTACAGCAAAGTTTATTTTCCCTGAAAATACCTCAGATCTCTGCAGATGCCCCAGTGGCTGCATTATGACCCTCATCACTCAGTTTGTGAGAGGCCATGTTTTTCACAAGGGCTTCCTATCAGAGACTCAGCTCTTGACTCACCAGGGCCCCTCTAACTGTGCATGGTGCTGCCCAAGTGTGTTCTTAAGACACAGTTCCTTCTTCAACTCTTCTCTCTCCTTCAAAAGAAGACCCACAGACAGTACAAGCAGAACTGGGATCTGATCCCAGGAGCCTTTTCAGAATCCCATGTCCTAGTCTACTGTCCCTACATGGCTCTAGACACCATGACATTCTCTGGGTCTCCAGGCTCCAACATGAAAATCTAGGCTGGGTACCCTGGAAACCAAGATGGATTTTAATTATTTTATAACTATTGTGGTAGCATAGTTGGGCTGCTAATCTCAAGGTCAGCAGTTCAAAACTACCAGCTGTTCCATAGGAGAAAGATGAGGGTTTCTGTTCCTATAAAGATTTACAGCCTCAGAAACCCTATGCAGGGTCACTATGAGTCAGAATCGACTCCATAGCACATAACCACCACCACCACCATTGGCAGTAAGTGCTGTTGAGTCGGTTCCAACTCATAGAAATCCCGGTGGGTTTGAACCACCAATCTTTCAGTTAGTAGTCTAGTGCTTATCCTACAGCACCACACCAGGACTCCTTTTAACTATTGAAACCTCGTATTTTCTTTTCCTTTTAGATGGGGAACACTGAATCCAAAGCATAGTCAGGAGACACCTGGTGGTAAAAGACGTAAGAGTAGTCTCCAGGAATGGGAAGCAGAACCATGTCCACACACCCAGTCTGGTCACCCCCAGACTTGAAAGCAGTCCCCACTTTGGGAATCACACATTGAGTGCTTAGCCTGTGGGTATTGACTTCCAGGAAGGGTTCTGCTTCCTGTTCACTGTGGGAGTGAGATCTAGAGGCTAGGCCATGCCTCAGTTTCCCCAGGGGACCAGCCACCCTGGCTATTTTCCTCCTCCCCTGTCCCTGGACCTATGTCTGGGTGCATGGGGCGCTGTGATATGATACCATGGAAGCACCAGGTGGGCAGCTCTGTACCTGTGTAGACTGCCTGGGACTTTGTGACCCAGGGTCTCAGAGAAAGGTGGCCTGGGTCGATAGAGAATGTGTATCCATGGAATGATCAGTCATGTGCATGCAATGACAGTGGCACAGCAGGGGTTAACCCTACCCCACCCCACCTCACCCCCAGTCCACAGCTGAGAGACTGTGGCTCACCCCTCTCTGAGCAGGCCAGAGGGAATGTAGAGAGGATTTAGGACTGCAGTCTGAGGTGGGTGAGAAGTCTTTTCAATGCAAAGACCTCCTTTACCCCAAACTGCCTCATTCAGCAGGCTCCCCCCCTCCCCCGCCCCGACCCCACCCCACCCCCGTGTAGAAAGTGGCTCTTCACTTTTCAGAGGCACAGGGCAAAGAGCTGGAGTCTCCTTCGATGTCCTCCACCTTGAAGCCATCCACAAGTCACGGTGGATCTGCCTCCAAACTCACCCACAAAGAGCCCCCTTTGCCAACAGATGCCCTCAGCCTCCCCTGCCACTCCTACCCCTGTCCTCCCACCCTGCGTCCCCCCAAGTCCCTCCTCCCTAAGGAGCCCCAATGAGTAAGAGGGGCTTTTACAAACCATGTTAGACCATGCCCCTCCATTTCCAGGACACTGGGGCCTCAAAGCCTGGGCTTTCTTGGTGGGTTATATCAAGGGCTCACATGGATTGTATGGATCTGGTACATGGATTGCACTCAGTAGGCTGTGGTGCAAGTGAGCACCCGTCTAGCAAAAAAGGTTTTTACTCTATATACTTTACTTGCTCCACCCCGACCGACAGGAGTCAAACCCTTAGATTGACTGTGGGCTTCTGGGACAGGGGCTAATTCCGGGGGTGGGGGAATCAGGCTCCTCTCTTATCCAACCCCTCAGTCCGTGTACACCACAGGTAGAACGTAAGCCTGTGATTTTCCTGGCTTGTAAGGGTGACAAGTGGGGATTTGAAAGGTTGCCAGTTAGCCTTCCGGAGTTGGATGCGGCCCACACCCCTCCGATTAAAGTCTTAGTGGAGTTGTGAGTTAAGATGAGCTTACCCACCCCTGGCAGAGTTGAGTCAATCAACTGTGGATCTAGTACAGAAACATTAAGGGGTATTGGAGGAGGAATCTTATAAGCATTGACGTCAAACTCTTTATTTTCCACGTTTCTGTCCAGATCTGCCATGTCTACTCAACACACTCCCTGTCTGTTTATGTTAGCAATCAGAGAGCTCTGGCTTCTCTTCCTGAAGGAGGGGGCTATGAGCGGGGCTGGACGCTGGTGGTGGCAAATAATCAAAAAAGGAGATTTGGGATTGAGAGTCCAGTAGGAAGGACCAGAGACAGAATGGACCATGCTGGAGCTGCACGTTCTGGGTGTCTCAGGGCACTGGACTGGAACCAGGACACACTACACTGACCAGGGTGGGGCAGTTGAGGAAAACTGCTTTCTCCTTGGGATGTATCATGGAAGGCCCTCTGAGGTAGCCTCGGGTTCCTGGACACCTGACTGGGTCCTCACATATGGGGTAAGCCAGACTCAAAGGATTCGTTAACACCTGGAGTGCTGGAAAATCCTCAGCCTCTCACCCTACACTAGATCACCCAGAGGTGCCAATCCCATAGTCCTCTGTGTGGGCACTCTGTGTGTTTCACGTCCCCAGTGCTATGGGCCTTCTTAAGGTCACCTTTTAGATTTCCTCAAGTCTTAGGGTCTTCTGGGGCTGGGTGCTGGAAAGGGGGTGGATTCGGTGCGATGACTGGCACCAGGTTCACCACTTGGGTGCGCTGGTATTTTATTGATGAATGGATACACACGGGGTGGGGGTGGGGGTGGGGTGGAGGACAGGCAAACTCGTGACCCTGGATGAGTTCAGCCCCCGTCACCCATCGAACCCGAACCCCAGAGCCGTATTGCTGGGTCATCTTGGAGGAGAGCTGGAGGCAGATGTCCCAGGTCCTTCGCCTGTCCAGCATGAGTGTCGGACAGCACCCACTCGCCCCTACCGAGACCAGACATCCCCTGAGGGTAGCCGGCGCAGGGGGGGGCCAGGCCGCAGCGGCTCTGCCAGGGGCCGGGCCAGAAGCAGCGGAAAAGGGAAGGTCTTGGGAAAGTCGCCCGGGCCCCCGGGGGCTGGCGAGACGCGTTCGGACTTGACGCTGATTGGGGGGGTTGGCGGGGAGGCGCCGCGGGTGGAGGGGCCCTCCTCACCCAGGCCACGGCCTCCGCTGCATAGGAGAGAGTAAGGGCATGAACTTAGTGAGGGAAGAAAGGGAGGGAGCCTAGACTCCTCGGAGGGGACCCTGGGAAAGGAGGGGGCGATGGCCCTCCTGGGGCCTCCAAAATAGCCTCCCACCCCTGCAGGAGCCGGTGGGAGGGGTTTGCAGTACCAGGAGTTCCCACTAGAGAACAGCAGAGACTGGTATTCTGAGGACCTGGAGGCGGGGAGGGCGGGGGCAGACTCTTTACTGGGCAGGAAGTGGGGGGAGGACAGTTGGACACTTACCTGGGCTGGGCTGAGGCAGTCGGGGGGCCATCCCCTCTTGAGGGCTGCCAGGGAGCCAGGGCAGGAGGCTGCAGCAAGCCAGGGGGAGGTGGTGGGTCACCTAGGCCATATTCTGAAGAACAGAAGGGATGGACTGAGTCCTGCCTCTAGGAGATCCCAGCCCAGGCCTAACCCATCTTGCCAGCCAGTTTTCAGTCCTGGCAGGTGGGGGAGCATGGACACCCCCTCCCCCCCCCAACAGGCAGGTGTGTGGAGGCTCCCTACAGCAGAGCCGGGTGGTGGTGCATACCTGGGGGGCCTGCAGGGAGGAAGGGGAAGCCCCCGATAGATGGTCCAGGGGCTGTGGCTGAGCAGGGGCTCTGCAGGCTGCTGTAGAGGCCTCTCTGTGGAGAAAGGGGGTGAGGAGGACACTGAGGCACATGCTCAGGCCCCATTGGCTCCATCTGCCTTGCTCCAGGACTCACCGAAGTACTCAAGCCTCCACAGCCTCCAGCCAAGCCCCCAGGCAGGTCTGGCCTCAGGCCCTCTGCTGCCAGGTACAATGGGGGTGGTGTCTTGGTGGTGAGGTGGCCCCTGGAGAAAAGAGGATGCACCAAGCCTGGAGGAGGAAGGGGAGATCCCCAGAGAAAGCAGTGTGAGGTCCAATCAGACGGTTAGTACCCATATCTACTCATACAGCCCTCTGAGCCCCCCAGCCTAGGGCCCATTCCCCTGCACTCACCTGGGGGTCCGGCTTTGGGGGCTGCTGGCCGGAAAGGGGATGGGCGACTTTGGGCAGGCAGGGCCTCCCCAAGCCCATTGGGATCACAGGTTGGAGGGGGAAGAGCCCCATACGCCATGTCTGGACTGGGCATAGCGGGAGCTGCTGGCTATTGGCAGAAGGAAGAAGGGCTGGTCAGTAGGGGCAGGTGGAAGGAGGGTGGAGGTACCAAAGCCTGGGAGGAAAATCCCAAGGAGCACAGGGACCAACATCTGTCATCATGAAATCCTAGCTGCTTCTCCCACTGGGTTTCCCCTCCCCTTCCCTCTGAACCCACAGGGTTAGAGGAACCTGCATCTGGCTGATTCAACAGCTAGGCCCAAAGCTGAGCCTTCTCATTCAGCATGGAGTGGGCACCAAAGAGGCATTTGATGAATCAAAGAAACAAAGATGGAACTGAATTCTTAATCATCCTTCAAAGCCCCAGCTATAATGTCCACATTTTGAGGAAGTCTTTTCTAACTACTTACCTAAGCAGAGACCCACTCCAAACTCTAGGCTCTGCTGGCCTGCGGTCCCTCCCTCAGCCCCAACCTCAACCACTGGGTCCTAGAAGGTGGGGTGAGGACCCCATTCACAATAGGGCAGAAGTCACTTACATAAAGTCGGGGTCGGGGCAGGGCTGGATTGCCCCCATCACCTGCCAGCCTCCGCAGCTTTTCTCCCGGCCCCTCAGATCCCTCATCTGGCTCCAGCTCTGGCCCATCAAGGCCTACACCCCTCCGCTTCAAGGTCTGGGAATAGGAGACAATGAAGTAGACCCTCAATCCCCTAGCCACGGAACTGAGTCTATGAGGGCAGAATGAGCCCTTCTCCACTCAGCTCTGTGGGTTTACCACCTACTAAGTTCTACCTACTAAGGAGCTCTGGTAGCGTAGTGGTTACGAATTGGACTGCTAATCTCAGGGTCAGCAGTTCAAAACTACCAGCTGTTCCGTGGGAGAAAGGTGAGGCTTTCTGCTCCCATAAAGATTTACAGCCTTGGAATCCCTGTTACAGGGTCACTATGAGTCGGAACTGACTCCGTGGCACATAACAAGTTCCAATTGGAGGAGCCCTGGTTGCACAGTGGTTATAGTGCTTGGCTACCAACCAAAACATTGGCACTTCAAATCCACCAGCCACTCTGAGGAAGAAAGATATAGCAGTCTACTTCTGTAAAGATTTGTAGCCTTGGAAACGTTATGGGGCACTTCCACGCTGTCCTGTAGTCATCATGAGGCAGAGTCAACTCTATGGAGTGGATGCTATTTTTTAAGTACCAATTGTGTGGAGGATGGTGTATAGTAGGCACAATTTGCTCTAGGCAAAAAAAAAAAAAAACCCTCTAAGATCCCAGTGAGTTACCATGAATGGAATTCCAACTATATGCTGGGCACTGCTGTCCCTTCCTAGGCACAGAGAGGACAATCGACCCACCAAGATTACACAGCAGGGGCTGTAGTACACCCAGGCCTGCTGGTTATATCCAAAAACTGCTCCTGAACATGGCTCAGATATCGATTCCATCAATATGTACAGCCAGGGAGTCTGGCACATAGTAGGTGCTTAATATATATTGGTAGAATGAGGGTCTGAGGACAATGTCATAGGCTCTCCCAAGCAGCGCCTCATAGCGACTGCTGACTTACATCCTCCAGTTCCCTCCCAGCAATGGGGGTACTAGGATACAGCCCTGGCTCCACTGCTCTCCCTAGCCCCTTGGTTCCAGCTTCTGTATCTTGGGTGAAAATCCCACCTTAAACAGCCAATTGTGGATGCTATGGGATTGAACCACCTGGTGCCGGGGTTTTCTCTGCAGAGCTTTTTAGTCTCCATCTCTCCCCATTTCTCTTTATCTCTGTGGAAATGGGAGAGCCAAGTCCAAAAGGGACAATCCCAACAAGCTCCGCAGCCACCTCTCCCTGTCTCTGTGCCTTTACTCTGCTCTCCATCTCTCCCTCTCTCTGACTCGTCTTCAGTGTGTGTCTCTGACTCGTCTTCAGTGTGTGTCTCTGACTCTGTCTTTCTCTCCCTTTGCTTTTCTCGCAGTCTCTCCTCTGTTTTTGCTTTTCTGTGTCTCTATCTTGAACTGTGTCTCTCTGTCTTTTCTTCTCTCTCTGTATCTGTCTCTCCATCTCATCTCTCCTTCCACCTTTCCCTCTCTGTCTTGCTCTGTGTCTGTCTCTTCCCTTCTGTCTCTGACTCCCTCTCTCTCTGTATCTGTTTTTTCTCTCTTCCTATTTATCACAACAGGCACTTAAGAGCATAATCCTGGAGACAGACAGACAGACAGACAGACAGACCTGGTTATTATTCTGCCTCCTCCACATACTGGCTGTGTGATTTTTACAGGTGGTGAGAACTCTGAGTCTCTTGTCCCTGCCTGCAGAGGAAACTGCCTACCAAAATCACACAATGTGTGTGGGGCTCATGGTCAGCCTTGAGCACAGCAAGTGCCCCTGCCTGGAAGGGCCCTCTGTGCCCCCAAACCTGCTTTTATCAGATGTACCACCCACCAGACTTGTGTCCAACCCAGGAGTCACTGGACTCATAGCGTGCTGGGTGTGTTGGGTCTTGTGGATGTGAGGGGCCCCAGGTACCTCAAGGATGTCGGTGTTGGTGCGGCTCTCATGGGGCTCACTGTATTCCGTGTACTTCAGTAGCACACGGTCCATATCCGTACTTGCATACTGAAAGAGGCGGTTGGCGCTATTGAAGATGATGAGGGCGATTTCACAGTCACAGAGCACGCTCAGCTCGTATGCCTTCTTCATCAGCCCAAACTTCCGTTTGGTGAACGTCACCTGTATCCACAGGCAAGGATGGGAGAAGACATGAATTTGAGGTGGAACAGAGGAGGTAGAGGCACCTCAGTGTTCCTAAACATGGCCTGTGCCTCAGTTATACTTGTGTTTTCAGTCTGCACTGCTCCTTTTCATGGCTCAACCTGGGAAACTCCTATTCATACTTCAAAACCCAGCCCAAATGTCCACTCCTTTGGGACATCTTCCTTATTCTCCTAGACAGGGCACAGACTCTCCAGGATTCCCCTGGGTTTGGATGCATCTGTGTGCAGCTCCATCTCACCTCTGACTAAGGACTCCTGTTATCAGAGAGAATGAATGAGTAAATGATCATGAAAATGATCACAGGCTAAATTATCAAGCTCCCTAATGCTGCATCCATCACTCGTCTGTCAGTTGGTCCTACTGTGGTGGCTTGCACATTGCTGTGATTCTGGAAGCTATGTCACTGGTATTTTAAATACCAGCAGGGTCACTCATGGTGGACAGGCTTTAGCTGAGCTTCCAGACTAAGACAAACAAGGAGAAGCGGACAACTTCTGAATGTTTAACACTGAAAACCTTATGTATAGCAGTGGCACAGTGTCAGATACAATGCTGGAAGATAAGCAAGTGGAGGATCAATGAAAAAGAGGAAGAGCCCCAATGAGATGGATTGCCCCAGTGGCAGCAGCAATGTGCTCAAACATAACAATAATTGTGAGGATGGTGCTGGGCAGTGTTTACTCTATTGTGCATAGCGTCACTAAGAGTTGGAACAGACTCAACGGCACCGGACAACAACAATAATACCGCATGCAGGCCCTTCCTCCTCCTCCTCACCCCACCCCTGGGTTCTAACAAGAACTTTTGCTTGAAGATCCTCAAAATGGACAGGCCTTTGCGCAGGCTGAGCTCCCTGCCAGGAATGCCTCTTCCCCAGTTCCAGGAGCTCACCTGCCGGTTCCTTTGGTCGAGAATGCGTGAGATCTGGATTTTTTTCCTCCCCATCGTCCCAGGCTGGTTGGTACAACCTTGGTGGGGAGAAGGAAGAGAGAACAGTGTGGGGGTAGAGAGTGGGGCCGAGAACCCCAGTCACCCTCCTGTCCTCTGCGGGCCCTTGCCAGTCCCAGGTCAGGCACTGAAAAGGAGATAAAGAGGGAAGTCAGGACAGGTTAGGTCCCTATGTCAGGACAGGCTAGGTCCCTGCTGTAGAGACCATGGTAGTCTCTGCCCCAGACCAGTCGGAACATGCAGAAAAGCTCAATAAACACTCTTGAACCAATTCTACAGGAAGAGAAGGCTGACCAAGACCGGAAGAGCAAGATGCAAAAGGCCTCTGCCCCAGAAACTGTGGATATCAAGCCACCTGACCTCCCTGGGCCTCAGTTTTCCTATCTGTACAGTGGGAAGATTAACAGTAGCAACTCTCCAGTGTTGTCTAGAGATGAAATGGGTTAACCCTGAAAGCAGGGACTCAAACAGATAGGTGCACACCAGTGTTCATTGCAGCGCCGTTCACAATAGCCAAAAGGTGGAAACAACCCATCAGGTGGGCTGCCCATAAAATGGAGTAACACTCAGTCATAAAGAGAAATGCGTGAAAGAAGTCAGACACAAAAGGTCATGTGATTTCATTTGTAAGAAGTACCTAGAATAGACAAATTCATAGAGGCAGAGAGTAGATTTGTGGTTACCAGGAGCCAAAAGGGGTAAAGAGGAGTTATTGTTTAATGGGAATCCTTGGGTAATACAAATGGTGACTGTATTTGGCTGTTAACCTAAAGGCTGTAGGTTCAAATCCACCCAGAGGTACTTCAAAAGAAAGACTTGGCAATTTACTTTGGAAAAGTCAGCCACTGACACGGAGAGACAGAGCAGTTGCGGACTCTAGACCAATGGACTGTGTGCCTGTTGGCAGGAGGCAGGTTTGCAATATGTGACCTTTGGACATTTAAACGAATATTTTTGTTTGTTTTATATGTGTACATCAAATATTTTTGCTTTGATGACTTATGAAAAATAAGATGTAAAAGGGAAGCCACAGGGAGGAAGCAGGGTAACTCTTATTGCAGGGAGGGGATTGTAATCATTGAAATGAAGCAAAATTTATGACTGGTTTTACAATAAAAGTTAAAAAAAAAAAAAAATCATCCTATAGAACACGCAGTTCTACTCTGATACACCGGGCTCACCATGAGTTGGAATTAACTTGACAGGAACTAGCTTATTGTTCAACATGTATAGTTTCTGTTTGAGATGATAAAAAAAGATACCAAGATAAATGGTATAGTTTACACAACATTGTGAATGTGCTTAATGCCACTGATTGTATACTCAAAAATGACTGAAATGATAAATCTTATGTATATTTCATCACAATAAAGGTCTTTTTGTAATGAAACATTTTTAAATGAGCTCACCCATTCAAGGCATTCAGATCTGCCCAGCACACAGCAGGTACCATAAACATGCTAGGATTATGAGTAATGGTACCAGGCTGACTCCAGAATTTGGCGGACACCAGTGCTGTCTTCCAACAGAAATGCCTATCGAAGGGATCAGGACGCCTGAGCCACTGGAGGGTAGCCTGCGGCAAGTCCCAGGTTCATGCAGGGAGCTGATTCGTTAGGGGCTGCATGCACATCTCATTCTGTTCAACCCCACCCGTGAGCAAGATACACAAAGACCAAAAGAAAGACTAGAATGAAAAATGCTTGTAGTAGCAATTACCTCTGGGTAGAAAATTTAGGGTGATTTCCCCGCTTTTTTTGAGGTGCAATTCACCTAACCTAAAATTAGCCATTATAAAGTGAAAAATTCAGTGGCATTTAATACAATCATGAGGTCTCTAGGTGGCACGGAAGATTTGCACCCATATGCTAAACAAAAGGTTGGAATGTAGGGTCCACCCAGAGGCACCTTAGAAGAAAGTCCTGGCAATCTATTTTAAAAATAGTGGAGCACAATTCTACACTGATACATGTGGTTGCTAGGTACTGAAGTCAACTTGACTGCAGCAGGTTTTAGTACATTCACAAGGCTGTATAACCACCACCTCTATATAGTTCCAGAACTTTCTTATCACCCCCCAAAAGTGAACTCATACCTGGAGGAAAAACAATGATGAAGTTGTGGGCTAAGTCCAACCATGTTCAATAGACTTTTGTCAACCTGGATTGAGACCTGGTTGGCCAGCAGTATAGCGAGACCTGGGGACTCCTGAGCCCATGGACAGGGACATGGCCACAGAGGACTAGAGTGGAGAATGAAGCATCCAGCTAATATGATGTGAGGGGAAATGCACAAGAATGCCCATAATTGCAGATAGTACCCATTTGACCTAGTTTCAATGGCTGGATGATCAAAACTTGACTAGAGGAAGAAAGAAGAGGAAAAACAGTGTCATTCGCTACAATTTGATGAACTTGACCTATACGAATGGATGTAGTAGCTTAAAAGAGGGAACGAATCTTTATAGCAAGGATCATTCCCACCCCCTCTGTACACAGGATTGACAGGGATGGGCAATTTAGATATTGGCTACCTAAAATGGGGGGGCGGGGTGCTATACAACATGAAGTGACTGGCTTACGAGTTTTCATAAGAGAGCTTAGTTTCAGAGGGTGCGAGGAAAGGTAGAATCTCCACTGAGTGGTTTCCAACCTGTCCAGACGAGGCTAGTGAAAGGAGATGAGGATAAGACTCTTGTGATTCAATAGTGAATAATTGGTATCAAGAGTGATTTCAATTGTTGCAAATGTAAAGGTAGACATTTTGTAACACAAGGAAGGGAGTGGTTGATCTTGCAGTCCAGGAGCCTGAGGCCCCTAGGACCATCAAGGGAGAAGAGCGGAGTGTGGGACCCTACCCAGAGGAGCAGCGATGCCAGAGATGAAGGCAGAGACAAAAAAAAGTGAACCCGTAACGATTAGCAATCACTTCCCATTCCCCCACCAAACGACTGACAACCACTAACCTACTACCTGTCCCTATGGCTTTGCCTGTTCTGAACATTTCAGATAAATGCAACCACACAATGTGAGGCCTTCTTATGCCTTTTTTCCTTTTATTATTTGAATTTTCTAACTTTGCTTCATTAGTGATTATCGATTATCTCTGTTTAAAAAAAAATTTTTTTTTTAATCTGTGGAAAAGAACAAATGCAAATCCCACCTCTCCCCCTAGGGAAGAGGCTACATGGAAAGGCATTATCAGTCCTGGAGCCCATAGATAGCATTTGGACCCAGGGTCTGCTGCGTGGCTAGGAAGGAACTCTGGACCCTCTTCATGGGGTTCTTAGATCTCCTTGATGGGGGTCCCAGATGAGGGTAATTGTTAGGCCCCCAGGCATATTTGACCCTGGTCTGTCGGGATCTGTACATTTTGACTCTGACTCCTGGCATTGACTTGAACAAGAGAACCGTCCACTCAGATCTATGTCTGCTGTTCTGTGACTGGCAGATGACAGATACCCAAGGTAGGTATGATGAGTGTCCATAAATGCAGGCCTGTCTTCTGGGACTCAGCCCAAGAGATCTGGGTGGAAACCTCATGATCCCAGGACCCAGGAGAGGAACCCCCGCCATGGGTAGTCAGCTGTGTGACCTCAGGCTTGTCCTCCACCCTTTCTGGGCACTGTCTCTGAGTGGTCACAACTGTGTGAAGCTCAGTCCATCAGAGCCCCCACTCTGGCCCCTCCAACTCCTGTCTGGCCTGCTAAAATTAACCTCTTGGGCTAATTTTAAACCCCAGCCAGAATCAGCCAAGTTCCCACGACTGGGATGTGTTGCCCCCGCCCTGATGGTCCCTGGGGGCCTGGAGGGGGGCACTAGTCCAATGTCCCCAGTGCCAAGATGACTTTGAAAATGCCCCCCATGCCTGGGGTCCCATGGAGAACAGGGCTAGATTGGGCTTGGATTGAGCTCTGGTCCTGGACGATGAGCTGCTACGGCTAACTCCCATTCAGATAAGGACAACGTGGCCAGGAAGGCTTCATATGATGGGGAGGCCCAGCAGCACAGACAACAGAGTGGTCTCTGAATTGAGGCAGGAATTTACTTCCATGCATAGGGAACAGCAAGTGCAAGGTCCCTGAGGAGTCACTGAATAAGTGACGGTCAAGGGGAGAGAAGAGGGGACAGCAGGGAGCCAGACCATAAGAGGTTTTCTGAATTGTGGAGAGAACTGTGAGTTTTAGGCGAAGAGCAAGGGAGAGCTCAGAGCAAAGAAGGAGCATGATTTGATTTATTATTCTTAAAACATCATCTGGGCCTGCCATGGGGAGCAGGGCTGTTGCGGGTGGTGTCGGACTGTATCTGACCCTAGAACCCTTACCACCCAAAGACCAAAGTCATCTACAATCCTGAATCCTAAGGAAGCTCTCCCAAAACACCCCTCTACCTGCACATCCTCCATGACTACCGCTTGCCCTCAGTAGAAAGTCCAGCCTCCAGCCTGGCATTGGAGACATTTTTTAATCTTGTCCTTGCCCAGCTCTCTCTCCTTTTAATAAATGTCTCTGCCTGAAAGACCTCTCTGTTCCTCTTTACCTGGTCAACTCCTATTCACCCATCAAAACTTGGCTAAAAAAATCCACTCCTCCAGGAAACCTTCCCCCTCCTTCCTCTGAATTCCCATCATTCCTGCCCTTCCCTCCAGCTCGAACTCTTTGGAGCTAAGGGATGTGCCTAGTTTGGTCTCTCCTAGACTGGAAGCCATTCAGGTATAGGTATGAATGTGGGTGATGAGGAAGCATTGGTGAGCTAAGTAGGCATGAGAGATAGGACTGAAACACCCCAGCTTCCCTCAACAACTTCCTCTCAGACTCCCCCAGCTGACCCCCAGCACAGAAATACACAGGCATGCAAATCCAGCCACCCAGGGTTGACCTATCTTGGCCCAGGTGTGAAAGGGTCTGCTGAGGAATGCGGAGGTGGAAAGCCAGGGTGGACATATATATATTTGTCCTCACATGCAAATCCTCTGCTCTAAGCCGCAGACAGACCCTG